TCTCATCCTCCACTCTTCCCACATAGGTCCCTTAGTCACCTTCTCATCCCCTGGACACAATACCCAACACCCACAACTCAAAGGAGAGGTTTGCTTCAGTTCATGTTTTTAGCTCACAGATCGCCAGCTCCAAGGCAGGACAGTGGGGCAGAGGGCCTGGCAGAGGAGCTGTTCAAGGTGATGCAGACAGGAGCAGAGCTAGAACTATTGCTTCTCCGGCAGCTGACCCCACACGGCATCCTCTGCAGGGACCAAGGAGGCACGGAGAGGACTGGAGACACTGTCAGACCTCCCAGGCGAAGGACTTGGCCCCCAAGCCTGCCCCCACTTCAGGCCCAGCAACACACCTGGACCCAGATGCAAACTGGGGTCCCCATAACTCCATCCTCAGAATTGTAGTAATACTCTAGAGCAGCTCTGAGAGCTCAAGGGCATGCTACAGCTACATTTCCCTTTTACGAGAGAGGATTTTTAAAGGACACAAATGCCCAGCCAAACGAACAGGTGGAGGGCCAAATCTGCAGGGCCCCCCTTCCACCGGAGCCTTGGTTAACCCTAACCCTAACCCTAACCCTTGGCCACTAGGCAGGTGGGGGTGCAGGAGCAAGAGCTGCAGATCCACCATCTAGGCTGGGGCCCGGAGGGTCCGTGCCAGGCCTCTCCCTAGGGAGCTGTTGCCTCGTTCTGTGTCACCACATCACCCTTTATCCCTGACTTACACAACCCAGATGTCCCCACCCCATCCCCTCATCCTCGGCCAAAAGACACCATTTAAAGTGAATCCATGTGAAACGGGAACCAGGATTCACAGCAGAAAGCAGGAAGCTGGGTGGAGACCTGTACCTGGAAGGAGGAGATTGCAAAGTGACAGCAGCAGCTTTCTCCGTGTGGAAGCCACAGCTCAGCTCCAGGGCACAGGCAAGCTTATGCCAAGTGTGAACAAAGGTAAACTGAGTCAGCACTGGCACAATGCACCGCCTGCCTCCTGCAGGTCAGCACGTTCACCCCAAGCCCCAGCACTGATGCTGGTGTCAGCCAGAAACTCCCGAGCTCGCAGACACCCCAGGAGACCAGTTATGCAGTGAGCATCGTAGACCTCCGCCAAGAACAGCCGCGTCCCAGGCGCCCTTGCACGCTGACTGCAGCCGGGACAGAGCCCTGGGTCAGCTGTTGCTGCTGAGCCTCCTGTGTCCTTTCTCCTCCTCTCCCAACCCAGCAGGCTGCCTTGGTGGCTTCTGGGGCTCCTAGGGGCCCAGGGCCTGGGTGGCGTCTCTGCTCGCCAGCTCTGTGTGCTCTTCGGTGAGCCTGGCTCTCTCTGGTCAAGTTTGAGGGCTCCCAGCTACTGGCAGGAAGATGTGTTCTCTGTCTGGGGCCACTGTAAATGTGTATAGTTCATTCTCCACAGGGTCCCGCCTCATTGGGCACCAGGGACCCAGATTCCTGCCCCATCTGTCACCATGCCAGCCATGTAGAATAAAAACAGAAATTCCCCCAAAATGCCTGTGAGGCTGCTTCTCTACGGATATTTCTCCTTTCTGGCCCCTGGGTCAGAACATCAAGGCAAGCTGGGAGTTAGGACGCACACTGTCATCCCAGCCCTGTGGGAGGCTGAGGCAGGAGGATTGCAAGCTGAAGCCTAGCCTGGGCAACTTAGTGACTTAGCAAGACCCTGTCTCAAAACAAAAAATCAAACGGGCTAAGGATTCACTCAGTGTAAAGGCCCTGGATTCAATCCCTAGGACCACAAATAAAACAAAATGAACCAAAGGGACAGGGACGACCACACCCACTGGGACGACAGCAGTCACCTGGGTAGTGCTGTCCTAAGAGAATCAAGTAGACCAAAGGGCTCAGCCGGCCCAGAACCAGCATCAAGGGGACCTGACCCCCTGTGACATTCCTAAGGCACCAGAACCAAGCTGTCCCACTGGTCCCGTGTGCAGTGACCAATGGTTAAAATGCCAGCACCCGAACGGTCCTGCCCACTCACTCCTGCCAGCAGGCCTGGACAGTCGGGAAGATCGCGCCAGGACTGAACACAGCAGGAGGTAAAGTCAACTCAGAAACCTTCCCTTCCTCCCAAGGATGTTAGGACCGTCCGCGAAGGCCGGGACACAGACGGCCTTCGCGTCTGCAGAGCCTCTGTGTGGTCGAGCAGAGCCCCCAACCACCTGTAGCTCCGTGGCCTCTGTGACACTCGGGTGTCCCGAAGGTCACCGGGCAGCAGAAGCCCCCAAGTAGGCATTTCTGAGATGCCTGCATCGCCAACTCAGCCCTTTTCCACAGCTTTGCCCGCTCCTAGAAGCCCCAGCACCTTGCCGACTGCACGGGTCCTCTTGGAAGCTCACCTGCCCTCCCTCTGAGGGTATTCGCGGAAGCCACACTCATCCCACCCGGGCTGGTGAATTCCTGTACCGATGCAGCACTGGTCCCCACCCTCTCCAGCTGGGCACTGCACTGTGTACTACATTTCTCAGAGGACATTTGGTGGGGAAATATGCAGGAAAGAGAGATTTGAAGTAATCACTGTACAGAGTGTGCTGCTCCCAGCCCTTCTCCAAGGCCCACAGGCCCAGGTCCTGATCGAAGGCTCTGACAAGTCCTGCTGCAAGCTGATGCTGCACTCCGGCTCTCCTTGGCTTGGTCGCTGGCCTCCTTTGCCCATGAATCTATCTACTTGGCCTGGCCTGTTCTGTCCCTGCTGCCGCTATCACTGACCAGGCTATCTGCTGGGGACCCAGCCAGGTCTGGAGGCAGAGTGCCAGCACCCCGTGTCCTCAGGTCCCTCTTATCCCTCCTAGCCCACTCCACACACTGCAGTTCTGTTTTGGAGGGTTTTTTTGGAGGCGGGTTCTTAGGGAGGGGCGAGTCTGTAGTCCAGACTGGCCTTGAACTCCCTGTATAGCCCAGGGTGGCCTCAAACTTGTGGCAATCCTCCTGCCTCAGCCTCCAGAGTGCTGGGATTACAGGCGTGCACCACTCTGCCTGTTGAAGAGATGACTTTCTGAAAGGAGACTGGGGCTGAGTTGTCACCCGGGGGGCAGAGCACTTGTCTGATGTGCATAAGGCCCTGGGTTCCATCCAGCACTAGACAATTTTAAAAGGTGGGACTGAAGGAAGTCCCTTCTGTTCCCAGCCTGGCTCAGGCCTCCGGCTCAAAGCACAGCTCCGCCCCTCATCCCAGCAGGTGTGGCCAGGACAGCTGTCCTGACTAGGGGGTCTCCGGACTCTCACCCACCCAGGTCGCCCTCATGTGCACGGGCAGCCCTAGGGATAACAACGCCAGCGCAAGAAGCGCGTGTGCCTTTTGGCCCAGCAACTTGGCTTCTGGGATGGGTCCCTCTGGCAGATACTCTTTGTAGCACGCATGAAGCCAGGGATGCAGCAACCAGGGTCTGTCTGCAGGGTGCAGCAAGAGAGGGCACGTGAACACTGGGCACTGAGGCGGGGCCGCCTTGGGCTTTACAAACACCTGAAAGCCGGGTGCAGTGGTGCCTTCCTGCACCCCAGCTACTTGGGAGGCAGAGGCAGGAGGACAGAAAGTTAGAGGCCGGCCTGAGCAATTTAGCAAAACTTTGTTTCAAATAAAAATAACGGCCAGGCTTTGTGGCACACGCCTGTCATCTCAGCACTTGGGAGGCTGGAGCAGGAGGATCGCCAAACGTTCGGGACCAGCCCGGGCTATACAGTGAGTTCAAGGCCAGCCTGAACTGTGTAGTGAGACCCTGTCCCAAAAACAAACACACAAAGGGGTGGGGTGCAGTCCAGTGTAAGGCATCCCTGGGTTTGGTTCCAGTTCTGGGGCTGGGGCACAGGGACTCTGCAGAACCAGAACCAGTGATTCAAAGCAATGCTGTAACCTTCTGGAGTTCATCCTGATCCGAAAGTGGTTTGTCTTTCGGCCAGGTGGTTCCAACCTCCAGGGTAAGCCTCCTGAAGCAGGTCTGGACCCCTGCCCTTGAGGAGCTCCCAGGATTGGGGAAACTGAGGCACGGCACTGTTCTTGTTCTTCTTGGAGCCGTAAGGGTGGGAACCAAGGCTGAGAGCTGCGATGTTGGGGCCAGCTTAGGTCGAGCACTTAGCTTCAGCACAGCCCTGCCCCCACCCTAGAGATGGACAGAGGCACAGACAGACGGAGGGACAGGCAGGGCACACACCGGCCCACAGGGCAGAGCAAGGTCCCACTGGGCTGATCCGAGGGGCATTCCCTGGTCACAGCGCCGTTTCCACCTCCGGGGTCGGGGCAGCTCTGAGCGCCACACTCAGGGTCCCAGCGCCAGCTTCACCACGGCCCTGGGCCCTGGGGCAGCTCGACAGGAGGACGTGGGGGCACGCTGGGACCGCCTCTGGGGCTGAGCCGCCTCGGAGGCAAACATCTTTGGGCCGGGCCGGGTCCTCACACAGGGAAGCGCCTCCAGGCCGCTCAGCAGCTGCACTGGGAGCTCCAGCACAAGGCCTTTGCCGCAACCCCACACGGGTAACCAGGTCGCTGCAGACACCCTGTGGCTATGGCCACAGGACAGTTCCTGCGAGGGCAGTGAAAGGCCAGAAACTCCAGTGCCCGCTGAGGGGCTGAGCCAGGCCTCAGACGACCTCGTTCCCACCCAAACAGTAAGGCCTCTCCACACCCACCACTGCTCCGATGACCCCGCTGGGCGTCAGGACAGGAAGGGTGGGGCAAGGCACAACCCCGGACAGTGGCCCCGCGGCCACCCACATGGGAACCACCCTGAAGCTCCTGCACGAAGCCTCTCTGCCGGTCCCAGGGCTGGGGCAGCGCCCGCGGCAGTGACCGTGGTCGTCCTCCTCCAAGACCCTCACCCAGATTCTTATCTCCAGGCCTGCTTCGGGGACCTGGACCAGGAAGGTCCCCGCCACAGCCTCACAACAGCGGGCGCAGAGCAGGCAGATCAGCCTCCTCCCGGCCCCCCACGTCCTGCAGCCCAGCAGGGCTCTGTCCCCCCAGGGGCCTGGGCAGGGGCGACAGGAAGGAGAGGGCAGCCAGGGAAACAGACCGTTTAATTGGGGACAAGGTGGGGACAGGTGGCCGCCCCCGCAGGGCTCAGCAGCCCCGCCCTCCTCAGGAGCCAGGCGGGGCTGTCGAGGGGCCTGGGAGGACCTGCCTGGCAGCACTGGCCCCTCCCTCTCACAAGGCACCTGGGCACAAGGCCACACCAGCCCACTGCATCTGCCCTGCCGGCGCGCCTCGATCTCGCCTCTGCCCCCTCGGTGGCCTCCGTCCATAATCCCCCAGGCCAGGGTCCCCTCAGAGCTGGCGCTCTTCCTTCCCGGGGGTCCCCATGAAGGGCTGCTGGGGGCCAGGGTGGGTGGTGGCCTTGAAGGCCACAGAGAACCCACGAGATTGGAGTGGGGTGGCGGGAGTCTTGGTGGCGGGGCCAAGGCAGGGCACCGAGGACGGCGAAGCCTTGGTCAGGAGCGGGGCCCCTGAGGTAGACAGGGGGCTCCCTGGAGAGGCGGGAGGTAGAGAGGAGGATGCCCTGGGGGAGCCAGGTCCCCCTGGAACGGGGCCCCCCGGTTTCCAGTAGGGCGAGGCCCAGGCTCGGGGCCGGCCTGTGGGCTCAGAGAGCAGGCGAGGCATCTTGGACCCTGAGAGCAGCTGGTGCAGCTGGAGCGCGGGCTGTGGAGGGGGTGCCAGGGGGATCCCGGGGCAGGAGCTGCAGGGGGCCTTGGCGTCTCCTCGGGGGCTGCGGGCAGCTCCTGGAGTGGTCGGCCCTGGCTTCTCGTCCAGTGGGCGCAGGGAGCCTGGAGGGGATAGGAAGCAGACACAGGGTTTTCTGCCCAGGGCTGCAGAAGCTCTGGGACAGGCAGGGGCACAGACGCCAGGCTGTCTTCGAGGGACCTTGGCACTCGCTGGCAGAGACTGCAGGAGCCACGGACCCGTGGCCGCCAAGTTCTGTGCAGACTGGCACAGGCACAGAGCCCCCGCACCTCCGTTTCCTCCTCTGCCTCAGGCAAGGCCCCGGTGCTGACACCAGCTCAGATCCGGGCGCTAAGGATGCACAGTGTGGGTTCCTCAGTGGCGACAGTCGGGCCACACAGGGGCGGGGGCTGAGGGTGCAGAGGCAGCAGTGCGGGGAGCTGGGTGACGGACAGGAGCTCTGTCCCACCGCTGTTCTCCTGTGAAGCTCATCTAAAGAACATCCTCTAAAAGACAGGCCTGGGTCCTCAAGGGAGGAGAACACATCCCACCATGGCTGCAGGCGCATCTGTGGGAGGCCGGGCCTCAGGTAAGATGGAATGAGCAGGCCTGCACGCCGCCCCAGGGATAGGAAATACCCTGTAACTGGAATCACATGGCCCGGTGAAGTCTGGCCACACATCAGTCACCCCGGTGGGGGCCCAGGACCTCCCGACCCGCCCCTTCCTAAAAAGGTCCTGGTTCCTTCCATGTACCCTTGCTAGGTGACCTGCTTCCCCACTGGATCAACATTGCCCATGTAGGGGCTGGGGATTTAGCTCAGCGGCAAAGCGCCTGCCTGGCAAGCGCAAGGTCGTGAGTTCGGTTCCTGGTACCGGAGAAAAAACAAAAACAAAAACAAAAACAAAACAAAAAAAAAAAACATTGCCCATGCGACTGTACTTGTAATCTTCCTGGTTGATCACAGTTTTGTCGCACCTTATACCCACCTCGTGGTTTTGCTCTATAAAACCTCACAGAAGTGGGGTCGGGTTCCCTCCTGTCTCTCAGGAGCTGTGCACTTCCAATAAGTTTTTCCTACTCTTAACCTCCATTATTCCTTAGAATTCATTCTTCAATTTCGGGGAACACGAACTCGGCACATCTGACATCTAGCAGGTTGGGAGTTACATATTTCCCTGTACCAAGAGCAGCCATGTCTGAGGTAGGCGTGGACCCAGTGCCATGGGAAAGCTGAAATTCTGAGATGGTTTGGGGGATGCAGGAGCCGTCTCCATTGCCGGGTCCCCCTTTTTTAGGAGGGTGCATTGTGGGAGACGTCACTCACACTGACACCCAGGACTGACTGCTCTCTCTCCATAAACCATGTGGTCCCAACACCCCTTCACCCCCAAGTACTGGGGATTAAACCCTGGGCCTTTGCACTGAGCTACAAGCGCAGTCCTCTATTATTTTTATTTAGAGACAGGCCTTACTAAGTTTCCCAGGTTGAGCTTGAATATGCAGTCCTCCTGCCTCAGCCTCCCAGAGTGCTGGGATGACAGGTGTGCACAAGACCAGGGGCATCAGGTCCCGGCATGCTGCAGGAGCCCAGCAAGCCACTCCCTGTCTGGGCCTGGGCTCTCCCTGGAAGCCCTCCGCTATCTAGGCTTGAGAGGGAAACCCAGGCAGGAGGCAGTGGGTGACAGCCCAGGCCGCAGGCCACTTACCTGAGCAGGAGGCGCAGCAGTCCCCAGCGGGGACAGGCGGGGCAGGGCCAGCGCAGGCCAGTGGGCAGGAGACCCTCTCACAGCTCACCTCTCCCAGCTGAGGAAGCAGAGGACACTCGTGAGGAGCGAGGGCGGAGGACAGGCGCCGGCACGCACACGCCCCGAGGTGCACACAGCGCGCAGCCAGAGGCGTCGGCTCACCTGGCACGTGCAGCGCGTGCAGGGCTCGTTGTCCAGCACGAACACCTGGCCATTGGCCACCTTCCTGCCCTCGTAGTTGCAGTCTGGGGGGCACAGGACGCAGCGTGAGGGCTTGGCCTACGGGGGCGCAGGGCAGGCGGCCGGTCCCACTCACCACGGCACACAGGGCAGCACTCCCCGTCGGGGTGGAAGGGGTAGGTGCAGGCGATGGGGCAGTCCACCGGCGAGCAGGCCACCGAGCCCAGCTGCGGACACAGAGACACTGGCACCGTGCTCGGGCGGCAGTGTCAGGGAGGCGTCTTGGCGGGCACGGGCTCTGCTTCGTGTCGCCCTGCCAGGACACAGGCCTCCGAAGTGCAAAGGCCTGGCTGTGTCCACGAGCCCCACTGCCAACAGGGACTTGCTGACCAGACGCCCCGGACTTCAGGGAATGGGTGAGCACCACGACTAGGGCCCGGCAGCCGGGGCTCAAGGGGCGCAGGCCTGGGGCCGCCTTGCATGGCACAATCAGAGAACAAGCAGACCGGGGGCCGCGGGACCCAGCACACAGCCAGGGCACTCGTGAAGGGAGCGCGGGTTCCCCAGCCCGGGCCTTGGCCCTGAGCTCCACGAGCTTTGGAAGACCTTAAGAGCGGCAGGGCTTTCCCCTCTGCCCCAGACCTGCTGCCCCCAGCTGCCCCGCCGCAGGGCTCTGGAGAACCCTGTGGCTCAGCCTCAGCACCGAGACTAACCAGCTGAGGCGCGTGGGCCAGCAGCCCACCTACCGAATGTCCAGGGCACACTGGCTCCCCAGCACCAGGGCTTGGGAAAGGAGCTGGCACCCCAGCAGGAGCCCCCGGGCCACACTCTGCCTGGCCCGGTGCCACTCGCTGGACTATCCTGCTAACCCAGCCTGTGGACACCAGCTGAGATTCGCCCCAGGCTGCCAAAGGGACCTCGGGAGCTGGGGGGCTGGGCGGGGCTTCCAGAGGAGGCGGTGCGTACCAGGCAGATGCAGCTGAGGCAGGGGTCGAGTGCCGAAGGGAAGGTCTCGTTGTTGTAGAAGACGCGGCCCATGTAGGTGCAGCCTGCAGATGGGGCACGCGGTGAGCAAGCGGCGGGGCAGAGCCGGAGCTTACCTGGGCAGCAAGGGTCAGGCCGTGCTGCCTGCGCTGGACTCAGCTGTGGACCACAGCGTCTACGCCACAGGGTCTCGGGCCCAGTGACCAGGCCGCACGTGGTCTCCTCCACCTGCCCCCCTTACACTGGCCCTCTGGCTCCTGGTACCCCAGATTCACGCTAAGATGCCACCGTGGCCCCAGACGCCACCGTGATAACAGACATCACAGGCTGGCAAGCAGAAAAGTGGCTGTGCGGGAAGAAAACTCATCTAAAAGACACCTGGGAAATGTTACATGTGTCACAGAAAGATGGTCGGAGTCAACCATGGCAGTGGCCTCTTTTATTTACTTGTTTTGCTTTCTGTATTTTCTCAATTTTCTACAACCATCCATTCATATTGAGATAGTGGAAAAGATAAAAATGACTATTAAAAACCACAGCTTCAGCTGGGTGTAGTAGCACACACCTGTGATCCTAGCTACTCAGGAGGCTGAGGCAGGAGGATAGATGGTTTGGGCCCAGGCTGGGCAATGTAACGAAGCCCTAACTCAAAATGAAGTTTTACAAAAGGGCTGGACTGTAGCTCAGGGGTGGAGCGCTTGCCAAGCATGTACGAGGTCCTAACCGTTCAGCGAGTACAGTGCTGGTACCCCGTACACACTCAGGGAAGCCAAGCCAGCGCTCCTGTGGGGAAACCGCTGTACTTCCCTGGCCCCTGGTTTCCTCCTCTGTGAAGTGGGGCGAGTGAGGTCTCTGAGGTCTGGCAGGAGATGAGGCATGAACAGTGCAGACGAGCCTGGCAGGGTGGCCGGGACCCAGGACCCCTGAGAATCATGGCCAGGGTGGGGTGGGGGTTACCTGCCGAGCAGTCGGGGCAGCACTGCCCAGGGATCCGGATGGGGTGGGGACAGAAGTCCACGCAGTCTGTCCTCCTGCAGCTCACTGAGCCGTCCGCCTGGAAGAAGGAGGGATTCACCCAGACTCTGCCAGCCAGCCCCACCTCCCTGCCCGACAGAGGGCAGTACAAACAGCTCACCCTCAGGGCGCCACGCTGCAGCCAGGGGTGCAGGTCCCACAGAGGGCTGGCTGCTGGGAAGGTGACCCAAGCCTTCCCAGAGGGGTCTGCACGGTCCAGCAGGGGCGCAAGCCTGGGTTCTGGTGCCCTGGCTTCCCTGGTCCCCAAAGGCCACCTGTCATCCCAGCCACATTCTTCCTGTACTGCTCCCTGGAGCCTAGCCCACCCCACACCTACAGAGGACGGTAAAACCCTACCTTTATGGGAATACATCCCACTGAAATCAAACTGCTGCACAAGATCTCTGTCTCCCTGTCTGCCTGTCCTTCCTCCCACCCTCGTTCTTTCTCTCCTTCCTCTCTTTTTAAAGAATCTGAATGTTCATGATCCTTTCTTCTACTCTCATGAAACGAGTGCTGAAACTGACAACGGAGAGAAGCCACCTGGGTGGGTGGCTGTCCTCTAACTCCCACAAAACACACTCAAGCTTGTTAAGGGCCAGAGGCAGGAAGATCGCAGCCTGAGCAATTGAGCCAGACCTTATCTCAAAATAAAAATTTAAAAACTGGCTGGGGTGTAGCTCAGCAGCACAGCACTTGCCTAGCATGCACAAGGACATGGGTTTGAGCCCCAGCACCAGAGAAAATGTGCAGACCAAGCTTCTCCCACACTGGTATGAACTTATCTCGGGGCTGAGCCTGGGGTCCTGTGGGTCGGACAGGGCCTCCAGGGGCACCCACGGTGCTGCTGCTCCAGGACCTCATCTTGAAAGGGCAGAAAGGGAGCCAGGGTGGCTACAGCAGGCCGCAGCAGTGCACAGCGAGGGGAGCGGCCGGGCGTGCTCTGCTGCCCACCGTGGGGGGCACACGGCTTCTCGTAACCCAGGTCCCACCCTGCCTGGCCCCACCTTGGAAGCCCAGGAGGACCCGGGCGGACCCAGGGCCAGGGCTCGCAGCCCGGCACAGGCGCAGGCTCAGGCCGAGAGCCCCACGCAGCGCAGCGTGGCCGGGAGGAAGGGACCGCCGGGAGGGGCAGCGGGAAGCAGCTGAAGGCGAGCAGGCTGTCATTCACCTGGCAGATGCATAACTCACAGGGGTCGCCGGGCGACCAGATCTGTCCCACCGGAAACTCGGCCCCGTTGTCATCCAGGGAGCAGCCTGGCAGGGGCAGGAGGGGGAGGCAGTGGGCGAGAAGGTGAGGGTGGACGGAGCCTTGTGCTCCAGATGCGCGCAGACCTCCGCACTCAAGCAGACACCCTGCCGCACACTCAGCCTCACCAGCGGTCTCCCCGTGGCGCCCGGGCCTCCCGCAGTCACCTCACCTGAGCGGGGCGTGGGCTCCAGACAGGTGAAGCAGCACTGGCCAGGGCCCAGCCGCCACTCCTCTCGGGGACAGTCCAGCTCGGGACACGGTGTAAAGGAGCAGGTCACCTCCCCGTTCTGGAAGGCAGCAGGACGTGGGCGGTGAGGGCTGTCACAGGGGCCCAGCCTGGCCTCCACCATCCTGGCCTAACCCTGCACCCGCTTCCACCTGCTCCCATACACCCCACAGTCACCTCCCTGTGCTCTGCTCCACCAGGGGATGTTCTAGCACCAAAGCCACGGTCCTCTGCGCCCACAAGCGGCTGCTGACAGCAGTGTCTCCCTCCCACGCCCGCCCATGTCACCCGACCCACCCGCCCACCGTCCTGGCTACTGCTGGTGGCTCGCTGGGTGCAGGGCCTGTAAAAACCCCATCTGCCCCCGCTGTACCTCTTCTCTCCTGCCCAGGCCCCACACCCTCGGCCAGGCCACACCCCTGTCACCCTGGTGTCCAGGAGACCCAGAGCAGGTGGCCCTCGGCCCCCACCTTGCCTACTGCAGCACCCGGACGCCGTGCTCACGGGGCAGCCTGGGCCGAGCCCTGTCCCCTACGTGGCCCTGGGGGAGTCCCTTTCCCACAGGGCAGCTGGCCCTCCCTGTCATCCCCAGATGCGGCAGGTAGGTCTCAGCCACCCTACCTGGCAGGTGCAGGTAGTGCAGTCATCACCGGCACGGCTGAACACAGCCCCCTCGGCATACCAGTGGCCATGGAAGTGGCACCGCACTGCGGGGAGAGGGGACACACAGCCCAGACTGCAATGGTACCCCGTCACCAGGCAGCCTGAGTGCAATGGGCTCTCTGGGCCTCTATTTCCCCATCTGTACACGGGCTTGATAACATCTCCTATGTCACACAGACACTAGTGGCCATTCACAAGAACTTAATTAAAATAGCATAACAAGCCAGGCATGGTGAACAGGCCTTGATGCCAGCACTAGGGAGGCTGAGGCAGGAGGACCTCAAGTCTGAGCCCAGCTTGGACAACTTAGTGACTTAGTCAGACCCTGTTTTAAGGTAAAAAACAAAAAGGGCTGGGGATGTAGCTCAGTGCAAAGGCCCTAAATTCAATCCCTGCTACCACAGAATAACAACAGCAATAGTAACAATATAACATGTAAAAGTTAAGAAAAACATTTTAAAAGAACACCAGCTTTGAAATCACTCTGCACCACTGCTAACTGGCTCTGTGTCCCTAGGCAAAGACGTGACCTCTCCGAGCCTCTTTCCTCATCCAAACAAGGCAACGAAACAGAGATGACCCGAGGACAGCAGGTGCCCCCCAGTAGGACGTGGGGTGGTGGGGACCTCCGCAACAGGGCTACGGTCACCTCAGAAGAGTGGCCGAGGGTCCAGAGACCGCTCTCCTCCTGGGCAGAATGTGGGCCCAGACCCCACCCCCGCTGGAAGGCTCGACCCAGGCGGATGCAGCCAAATGCGGCGCACGCAACAGGTGCGGTGAGAGCGGTGCGCCTGCGCAGTGGACCTGCGCCCCGGAGGCCGCCGCCCCGCCTTCCCTGCCCCGGCTGTCCCCGGCCACTCACCCGGGACGCAGGCACAGCAGTCCGGCTGCGGGGCCGCCTCGCAGGAGCCGGGAGGACACTCGGGCGAGATGCAGGACACGTTCCCGGCCTGCACAGATGGGACCCTGGTGGGCATGGCGCTGGGACACGGCCTGCCCGCTGTCCCTACACTGACTGGCTAACTGTAGCATGCCCTCCCCGCCTGAAGCGCCCAAGGGAAGCGCCTGGAGACCAGAAAAAGTGCCACTGCATCATAGCCGTCTCTGGGGTCCTTGTCCAGAGGTTCAAAGATCCCCTCTCGTGACCCCAGCGGAGCCTGCCCCCCAACGCGTGATGCCCCGACTGGAAAGGGGTGCCTGGCTGCTCCAGGGGATGCATCTGAGCCGTGACCGGAGGGCCTTTCATGGGCTGGTCAAAACAGTACATTTAAGAACAAATTCTAAAAATGTGAATTTAAACCAGGGGTGGTGGTGCACACCTGTGATCTGAGCACCGGGAAGGCTGAGGCAGGAGGACTGACAAGAGTTCAAGGCCACCCTGGGCTACGCAGCCACAGGTTCTGCCATCAAAGCCAGGCCAGGAGCCGCTTTTAAAGGTGAGCAGGGGTGGTGGCCAGAGCTGGGCTTGGGACTCAGACCTCAGCCCAAGTCCCTGCAGGAGCAGGGACAGGAAAGCTGGCCTGGAGCTGTCGAGACCTTGCGGGTGGAGACAGAGGGAAGGCCCGTGTGCTGCACGGGCCTGAAGGGATGCACAGTCACTTCCGTGGGACAGTACAGCACCGCGCCCTGCCTGGCTCTCAGTAGGTGCCTCCTAACTGTCCTTGGCAGACTGACCCTGCCTAAAGCAAAACACTGAGCCAGGCAAGGTGGCACATGCCTGCAACCCATTACTCAGGAGACAGAGGCAGGAAGATGGCGTTCAAGCCCAGCCTGGGTCACTGAGGCACTTAGCCAGAGCTTGTCTCAAAACCAAAAATATAGATGGTTTGGGGCTGTAGTTCAGCGCAGAGGCCCTCGGTTCAATTCCCGGAAGCGCAAAAATAAAAATAAAAAACCTCTCAGCAAGCCGAGGGTTACATCCACGTTTCTTATGGGGGCAAATCTTCAGCCTGGAGAGAGCAGCTGGGGGCCGGGCACTGAGCCCTTCCCTCCCCGCCATCCTGCACGCCTGAGGCCCTGCGCCAGCTTCCTGCCCCCCGCCCCCGCCCCTTTGGATTCCCCAGGTTCTGATCCAAACCCACAGCCCGGGACGGCTCCTTGCATCCAATCAGCTCCCTCGAGCACCAGGCTCCTCTCCTTGCTTCAAAATCCCAGACAGCTCTGGAGGTTGGGAAAACACCACGGGGCTTGGGGACCTGTGACGCTTACCAGGCAGACGCAGACGGTGCAGTTCTCACCGGGAGGTGAAAACACATCCCCGTGCGCCCGGACAGCGCCGCTGTGGAAGCAGCCTGTGACAGTCAGTGGGGGGCGTCGGCCACTCAGAGCACGTGAGGCCCCCTGACCAGCATGTGTGCTGGAACCTCTTGCTCTGCCCGGACGCCTGGTGAGGTGCGTAGGCGGCCCGAGCTGCTGCGTGGCCCCAGGGCCCTGGGGCGACAGGAGACAACCCCAGGGCCTGGGGCTACTGGTGCCCTTAGGGCCACAGGTGTCTGGAGAGCATCTCCGTCCCACCACATGGGGAAGACAGAGGACACCCATTCCTGAGACTGAGTGGCCGCCTCAGTCCCCCTGCGAGGCCTTGGGCAGTCACTGAGCCCCCCCATGACATTTTCATCATAAAATGGAAATGCCACCATGTACCCAGCAGGCTGGGAAGGACTCGAAACCTCGGGATCAAGCACCAGTGCTTTCCACCCAGGGCTCAGTCAAGCCACACGTTTGGTTTTTGGTTTTGCCTTTGATGTTGTAGTGCTGGAGATGGAACCAGCACGTGCTAGCAGGCGCTCTACCAGCACCCTCGGCGCCTTGGGGAGATGCTGCAACTGCTGCCATCTCCCCAGGAGCTCCGGGACCTTCCACTGGAGCGCCTGTCCTGTCACGGGGGTCCCTGCTCACTCCCCTGTGTCATACCAGCCTTGGCAGCAGGCGCAGAGCAGGAGTGCACGGCCTGGTGGAAGGGCCAGGGAGGAACTAAGGTCCCTCCTAACACTAGCAATGGGGGGCAAACAAAGCTGGGCAGACGGTGGGGTGCAGCCCCAGGAGGGGAGCGGCTGGCAGTGGGGATATGGGGAGATTCACGGGATGAACGAATGAGTGAGGGTTACAACAGCCTCGACAAGTGGCAGTCCCAGGTCATCCCCAGAGCAGCCCACCCTCAGCCCCCACCCGCTGGGCCAGCGACGGAGCAGCCCACGGATCCGAGGGCTGGTAGTGCTCCAGGCAACTTGAAGGTGCATAACGGTGGGGGACAGCCGTGGGGTAAGGATGGCCAGGAGGAAACAGGACGGCCAAACACGTGTGTGCACGCCCAGGCCAGCTCTCACCTGTGCAGGACGGGCAGCACCCCCCATCCTGCGGGGGTACCGGGTGGGAACACGTGGCCTCACACCTCACCTTCCCACAGGTCACCTCCCCGTCCTGGAAGCACAAGCAGGCGCTGCAGCCCGCTCCAGGTCGCAGACACTGCAGCAGGCAACGGGATCCGCACACCCACCTCGCACCAGCACTGCGTGCACCCGGGCACAGCCCAGCGGCTCCCTGATGCGTGCATGGCTCCCAGGTGCCAGCAGGGAAGAAGTCCCGGTGCCGGGCTCTGGTCCTCAGGGCCGCGGGGGGAAGAAGGGGTGCCGAGTGCCTCCTCCTGGAGGAGGGAGGGGGGTCCAAGGGTTCCTAGCAGCGAGGCACCAGGCACAGGGGTGGCCATCAGGGTAGACGACAGCCATGCAAGTTCTGGAGGGCGTGTGGTCCAGACCCCAGCAACCGGGCCTGGGGCCCCAGGACCGGGGCTGTAGCCTGGGGACAGGCCCGGCTGGCCAACGTCAGGAAGCAGCAGGGCCATCGCGGGGGGCCTGGGCTGTAGGATGGCAGAGGGCGCCAGCAGCGCCCGGGGCAGAGCTGCAAGGGAAGCACACGGTCTCCTGGGGGGAGGCGGGGCCTCAGGCCCTGACGCCGCCACCCAGCGCCTGACGCGCTGGGACTGCGGGACAGCCGGAGCGCACACGGGAAGAGTGGCGGTGGGACGCGGGACTCACGGCCTTCCCGTCCCCTAAGCCTAACCCTGATTGACCTTAACCCGAACTGACCCAAATCCTAATCACCGCAGGGATCCAGCCCCACTCCTGCATTCTAGCCTCGTCCCTGGTCGCAAGGCAGCAGGGGCAGGGGGCGGGGCCTGGAGGGGAGGGACTGAGGGCGTGGGCTTTTTGAGAGGGCGTGGCTTTTAGGGGTGGAGCTTTGAGGTGGGCATGGTTTTGAGGGCTTGGCTTTTTTTGAGAGGGCGTGGCTTTTTGAGGGGGCGGGGCCTTTGAGAGTGGCTTTGGGGTGGGCCCCTAGGGGGCGGGGCTTGAAAGGGCGGTGCTTTTAGGGGCGTGGCTTTAGGGGCGTGGCTCGAGTGTTTGAGAGGGCGGTGCTTTGAGAGGGCGGGGCCCGAGGGGCGGGGCTAGGGCTCCGCAATCACCTTCGCAGGACGTGCGGTCCGCCCGCAGCCTGAAGCCGGGTCTGCAGGTGCACAGGAAGCTGCCCACCGTGTTCTGGCAGGAGTGGTCACAGACTCGCCTCTCCTGCGGCCTCCGACACTCGTTCACGTCTGCGGGAGAGCCTGACTGCCTTGTCCTGCCGGGGAGCCCCTTCCTCCGCCTGAGCCTAGGCAGTGTTTACGGCCCCTCCGGCAGCAGGAGCCCTGGGACGGCGGGGACAGCGAGCGTGCTCTGCCCCTCGGCCTAGCGCCGGGCCTGCCCCGTCCGTGTCTTCTTCCTCACAGCTCGCTGCCTGCCCTGGGGGGCTCCAGGACAGACACCTCGCCCTGCCGGGACAGTTAGGGCAGGGGACCCGCCTTCCCCCGGGGCCTGGCCCGTGCCCGGCATGCCAGTCCTGCTCTGGACGCGGCCGCCGGCCGGCCGAGGGGCAGGGCCTCCCTGTGAAGCAGAAGACCAGGGCAGAGCGGGCTTCCTGGGCACGTCCTGGAGGGCAGCGAGAGACACAGGGCAGCTCACCCACGCAGGAGTGCCGGTTGCCGTGGAGGTAGAAGCCGGCGCGACAGGAGCACTTGTAGCTGCCCACGCTGTTCCTGCATCTCTGCTGGCAGGGTGTGCCCAGGCACTCGTTCGTGTCTGCGGGGCACAGGACAAGGCTGGCCTCCCTGGCCACCCCACTCGAGGCCCTGGGTCCAGCTCGACGCCCTCGTCCAGTGTGTCACCCCTAAAGACCCCCAGACACACACTGGCCTGCACGCCCTCCTCACAGAGCTCAGGAGGCCCCCGGGCACCGTCCGGGCTGCGGCTCCTACCCCGGCCCTCACCTCGCTGCCTCTTCTGAGGCGCGGCCTGTGCACATGGGCCCCACCCGCAGCCCGAGTCTCCTCCACCCCGTGCCTTTCAAACCCTCACCCCACTTCTTACTGCCCTGGCCAGCCTCAGTTTCCCCATCTGTAACGTGGGTGGCTCAGCACTTCCTCAGAAGAACAGGGCAGAGTGCAGGTCCCGCACGGCACCCCAGGGCTGCCCTGCCTCCTTTGCCTGCTCACCTTGGCAGCTGTGGCGGTCAGCGGACAGCTGCATGCCCGGCCCGCACTCGCACACAAACCCGCCTTCCGTGTTCACACAGCGGCCCTCACAGGAGGAGCTCAGACACTCATCAATGTCTGGGAAGAGAAAACCCTCACACAGCGGGCTCTGAGCATGGCTGGGACCCGCACCCACACCCCAGGAAGAAAGAGTAGGCACCAAGGAAGCCTTGCTAACTTGCCCAGGCTCGAACTTGCAATCCTCCTGCCTCAGCCTCTTGAACTCTGGGATTACAGGTGTGTGCCATTACAGATATGCCCAGTTTATGATCTCAATTTTAAAAACGTGTATGTGGGTGACTTACATACACACCTGTATAAACACATAAACATATACACACCCGGGGGGACAATGGAGAAAATGCTTCATTTTAGTAGCATCATCTCTAAGTGGGATTCTACTTTCATCTTTCCACTCTTACTTTCCAATGTTTTTTTGTTGAGACAGGGTCTCACACTGCAGTTCAGGCTGGCCTTGAACTCACTATGTAGCCCAATCTGGTCTCCAATTCAGAGCAGTCCTCCTGCCTCAACCTCCCAAGGGCTGGGATGACAGGCGTGTGTCACCATGTCCGGCATTTCAAATGTTTTTAAATGAATTACCATTTGCTTCTCTGTTCAGAGGAAAAACATTGTTTTTACAAAGTTAAAACTATGCAAAGGCCAGGCGCAGCGTGCACACCTGTAAGCCCAGCTCCTTGGGGTCTCAAGTTGGTAGGCCAAGCCCAGCAATCTTCCAAGACCCTGTCTCGAAATGGAAACTAAAAAGATAAGAAGGACCTTAACGTAGCTCAGTGGTAGAAAAGAAAGAAACTCCAAGAATGGTTTCACTGCTCTGAAAACAGTCAGGAAATTGGTCATAAGGGGCTGTGGATGTAGCTCAGTGGCACAGTGCCTGCCCGGCAAGTGTGAGGTCCTGAGTTCGATTCCTGATATCCCCCCAAAAAACAATTGTTGAGTTTTGTTTTCCCGTGTTTTAAATGCCACTTTCCCAAGCAGTCTCCCTGCTCACCATCATGGCCCCTGCACCACAGGTCCTGGTGACAGTCCCGTGACGCTGGGCCTTCCTGTGCAGTGTCCTAGCTCTTGTCCCTGTCCCCATATTCAGAAGCTCCACAACAGCGGTGACCAATGCCCTGGTCACTGGCCCCTCAATAAATATTTGTGAAGTACCGGAGGTGACATATCCCTTGTCTGCATGCACCACAGCTTGACCCAGCTCAGCGGGCCCTGCGGCCCCCGGGGGCCGAGCAGGCAGAAGCATTCCTACCCCTCCTGGTGCTCCTGGCTCCCACCTGTGCACCGGACACCCACGGTGGTCTCTGTCATGGAGAAGCCCACGGGGCACACTCGGGCCACCTCCTGACATCCGCCGTGGTTGCAGGTCAAGTCGCAGCCGTACTCCCCGCAGGGTCCGTGGGCGTCTAAGCAGGCGTGGCACCAGTGAGTCTGTGGTGGGCGGCTGGGCCCAGCCCTCTGCCCCAGGTGTCCCTGAGTCCTGCTGGGAGGGGGTTCTGGGGCGGATGGGCCTGAGTTCAGTCCATTTCTGCCCCTTCCTGGTCCTGTGACTCGGGCAAGACAGTGCCGCAGCCTCCCCCTCTACACAGGCACCTGAGAGGCCCCCACTGCCCAGCTTGTCGTCCCAGGGCTGACCCACATTCCATCAGCCGCGTTTCCTTGTTACCTGGGCAGGTGGCCCCTTGCTCCCCATCCGTGCAGGAGCAGACATTGGGTGCGATGCAGACACCGCTCCCACAGCCGAAGGAGCAGAGGGCTGGGGGAGAGACTCGGGTAAGGGGCTGGGCAGGGACCTCTGCCCCTGCCCTGGGTAAGTGGGCATGTGGATGAGCACTTACGCAGGGTGCAGTGCCCGCTGCCCATGGAGGGCACCCAGCCTGGACAGCAGCCACTCCCGAAGCCTGAGAGGCAGACATGGGGGCCCCGGCGGCGCCTGTGGAGAAAAACAGCACAGGGCACTCTGGGGTGCCCTCCCTGCGGGGGGAGCAGGCTGCCAGGGTGTTGGGAGGGCACAGAGGTGGACGAGACATGGAGGCCACCGTCACACAGCAGAGGCAGGAGCTGTCCAGCCACGGACTCGGCTGTGTCCGGAGGCCAAGGGAGCCGCCACTCTGCCCTGGGCATTTCTCAGAGTCCCCGCTATGTGTGCCTGGAGCTGGGGACAAGGACGGACCAAGCTAAGAATGGCTACGGCCAATGGAACGTGTTCCGGACAGGGTGCCCTGAGTACTGAGAAGTGTCCCTGGCCCAAGGACCTTTCCCCTTCCTGAAGCCAATGGGCAGCGCTGCCACTTGCCCACCCCCTAGAGCAGCAGCCTGGGGAGAGGCCGGTGCTCCTGTTCCTCAAACCCGCTGTAGGGGCAGGTGGGCCAGTGAAGTGGGAGGTGGCAGTCACACAGGGAGCCTGCAGGCTGGGACCGGTGGAGGCGCTATGGAAGGCACCCGGAGGTCACGGCCGCATGTCCGGCCACCGCCAAGGTCCCTGGGTTCCTGGCCCAGGCACCATGGGCACTGTGTGTGCTCTCCACCTTGCGGCGACCTGGGTACCCAGTGGCGGCCCAGGGTCCTGGAGGGCATGGACTTGGGGAGCAGCGCAGCCCCCAGCCTACCAGATCTAAGTGTCCCCGCCCCCGGTCTCGCGGCCCCAGCCCAGCGGCCCCTACCTCTCGGCGGCAAAGGGCCCGGGCTGCGTCCTCCCGGAGGGGCCTCTGCCAGGCACCGCGGGCGGCAGGAGCAGGAGCGCGGCGCAGGCGGCCCCGACCAGCAGCCCAGCCCGCATGGCCGGGGCGGGGGTTGCAGGCGCACAGCCGTCGCTCCGCTGACCCTCCTCCCGCGCCGCGCTGCGTCCCGCGCCCGACACAAAAGGCCGCGCAGCGCGCCGCTGGCGCTGGGGAGGCGCAGGCCGGCGGGCGGAAGGGGGCAAAGATCGGGGACCCCGGGGCGGGGTTTCGCTCGCACACCCCAGCCGGTTTGCAGTGGCTTCCTGCAGAGGGTGGAGGGCAGCGGCGGAGGCCTGGGTGAGGAGCCTCAGGGACGGGGATGACGGCCCCTTGGCTGGGACAAGGTAAGCGAAGCCCACCGATCCGACCCTGGATCGCCCCACCCCCGGGCGCGCGGATCGCGGCGCCCGCTCCCTGGCCAGGGGACACTCCGGGGCCTGACCCCACGGGCTAGGTGGCACCAGTGGGAAGGGGCCGGGTGCCTGCCGGGGGTGGCGTGCAGCCCCCGGATTAGAACTGGAAGGCCCCCCTGGACCTCTGCTGGTGCAGGCCCTGATGGAGCTCAGCAGGCAGGGTGGGCAAGGACCCTTGGCAGAAACAGGACTCTGCCCTGGCCACCCGACCAGCCTGCCAAGCTTGTGTACTCCCCAGAGCTAAGGCAGGCAGTGGCGGTCAGACAGCAGCAAGTCCAGCTCGGAGTGACATTTAACTTGGTCTCAAAAGTGTGTGCATCCCCCGCAGACAGGCCCGTGCCTTTGGTTCCTGTCCGCTGAAATCCTTGACGGCAGTGGCCGCTGTGACCAGACTCTGGCTCTTTCCCAGGGTCCTGCCCGAGGTTCACGCAGCTCGTCACACCTGGTTGGTTCAGGCCCATCTGCCGTCACTTCGTGGTGATAGGGATGCATTCCGAGACTCTGGACCTCAGATTCCTGGGGCAGCTTTGCCTGAAGCCCCAAACTCCCCAAGGCTGCGCTTTCCCATCCAGGTCAACCAGGAGCCCCCTCTCCGGCCAGGGCTTCCGCGCACCCTCACACACCTGCACCCACGCAGCATGCCACTCTGCCCCGCTCCTGCCCTCAGTGAGCAGCTGAACATCCATCCCTCCCAGACGGAGGAGCCCTGTGGGGATTCTGCTGTCCCTCCCGTCTTGGGACCCCTGGCCTCGCCTGTCCCTCTTACAACCTTGGTCCCTTCAGCTTGCCATCTGCTTTTTCCTGCCTCTCCCTGAGGCTTCTCAGACTGGCCTGGGGTCCAGCCTGCTGCTCACCCTGCTGCGTCCCTTCCTCTCCTCTGAGGCTGTGGAGGATCCAAGCTGCTGGCTGTGGACACCCCAAGGCCCTCCGTGGGTGTGTGCTCACGTGTGTGCTCATATGTGTGCGGAGGCCAAGGGAGGGCTCCTCGCACAACGCAGCGGGCTGCCTGAAGCAGAGCTCAGGGACAGCCTTTCACCCTGAGGCAAGGGTGCTCCGGGAGGGGTGTGGCCATGGGCAGCAGTGTTTCCACGAGGTGACTGGATTCAGTCCCGCGCGAGATTGCAGGAAACAAAACCAGCCAAGCGCTGGCAGGCTGCTTCTTCAAGCTCCAAGCTTGGGATTGAGGCCCCCGAGGAGCGGGTCAGGGAGTGGGGCACAGGTCACCTCGCCACTCTTAACCAGGGTGGGCACCTTCAAGTCAAGGGTTCAAGTCCAGAAATCCCCAGTCGGACTGAGGCTTACCAGCCGGGCTGGTCCTGGCATGGGGCAGGCTTTCCCACTCCAACCCTGGCTCTGAAAGTTCAAATCCCAGCACTGAGCCTCAGGGCAAACCGTGGCTTCTGACAAGCCGGTCAGCTTCCCTCTGAAGACCTCGCCCCTCCCTCCCTCCAACACCCCAGGAGAGCAGGGCAAGAAGAGCAAGAAACAAAAGTGCCCCCATCACAGGTGGGGGAGACCCCAAACTGGGCGCTTCCTCACCCCTTGCCTGCCAAGTCTGAACTTGAAACTGGTTTCCCGGCACCGTACAAGGGTCGACCAGACCCTCTGCAGGGACAGAGCTGCCTTTCTTCTCTAGGATCTGGGCCGTACCGTGGGCCCCGAGCCAAGTGGAAGGGTGAGGTGACAGGAACTGCTCGCTGGACACGATGGGGACCCTCTGAAGCGCCCCGCTCCTCCGTGTATCCAAACCAGCCCCTGCAGGGTCACCTCCTCAGGCCAGAGAAGCACAACGCAAGCCCAACAGGGGCGTCTCTGGAGCTCCCACGCCAAGGGACAGGGAGCACAGCATGTGCTGGGTCAGGGAAGGACGGGACAGGACAGGACGGCACAGCTCAGCAGAGGAAGCAGGTCCAATGGTCCTGCGGCAGTCAAAAACCACTACAGTGACCACTGAGCTTTCAAAGCCTGATACCCACCATCCTGGAACCCATGGGAATAATGAGGTAACAGAAAAGGCCCAAGGCCACTTCACCATCCGAAGGCAAGGACAAGTGATGTGGTGGCTACAGGAAGCACGGGTCCTGCCCAGGTCTGCAGGCGACGGATGGGCAGTACACCTGAACTCAGGCAGCTGGGCAGGCGGAAACGAAAGGACTTCTTAGATTCTACTTTATTTGGTAAAATTCTGAAACTAACCACCAAATCACAGCCCTGCCTCCTCTCTGAAGAAGGGAGCTTCTCAGCCAGGGCGGGGCCGGCTCACCCGCCTCCTCTCAAGCAGCTCTCCTGTCAAGCAGCTGGCGCCCCAGCTCGGTGCCTGGAGGCCAGAAAAGGAAGCCAAAGGCAGCCCTGCGTCCAGGACTACCAGCCCCTCTGGCCGCCCTCCACCCACCGCTTCCCCACACCCACAGCCCAGGCCAGAAGAGCAGAGGACAAGCTTGAGGGCGACACTGGGACACGCACGTGCGTGTATGCATGCATGCACACACGCGTGCACACACGTGCACAGCTTCCTGTCAGCCCCCAGCTGCAGAAGCCCTCCCCGAGGGCAGTGCTCGGTGCTCCGAGGGGACCGAGGGGCTCCTGTGAGACTGGTATCGTGCAGGAGACGCGGCTCCTGAGCTGGCTCAGTTCCTCCGGCCCCGCTGCCCTTGGGCGCTACGGCCGCAGGCAGGTGGCTGGAGCGTGAGGACGTGTGAGAGGAAGGGGGTGGGCGGGCCAGCTGGGCTAATGGATCCGGGTCAGCTCCTCCACCACCTTGATCAGGTCGTCTGCAGTGGCCTCGCGTTTCATCCCGCTGCCGTCGTCGTACTGCAAGGCAGCAGGGGGGCGGTGGGCACGGGCGGCGCGGCCTCGGCGGCAGGCCCAGGACTCCACAGAGCGCTATCAGCAGGCCCACAGGGCAAAGCTGGCCCCAGCGAGCAGCAGCACCCCAACTCTGACCTGCAGCCACTCCCCTAACTGGAGGGCCCCGCCCTCCAGACACCAGGCAAGGCCCGCGCCCCTCAGCGCTAGCACAGGGGAGATGGTACCAGTGGGTCCAGGACCTAAGCTCCACCCCCACCTCTGCCAAGAGGACCCCAAGGGCCTGCAGGGCTGCTGCTCCCCAGCCCAGCTCACCTGCAGGTTGGCCACCACCTCCTGCATCTTGGGCCGGCTGATGTCCAGGAAACTCTCGATCAGGTCACCGTCGATGAAGCCTGTGGCCTGCTCTGTCTTGCGCTCGGTGTGGAAGGACCTCCAGGTAGATGGCTGGTTAAGGAGCCTGTGCTTCTGGAACATTCTGCCACCCACCCATGGCTAAGAGACCAGAGGTTGCCGTGATTGCCAGGGCTGGGACAGGAAGCTCGTTACTTTCCAGATACTTTGTAAAGTGAAAGGGGAAATGTGAATATCACTGCTTAACCCCATGGTTCTCAACTGGATAAACCTCAAAATGACGTTTAAAACTACAGGTCAGACCCTGTTAGCCACAGCCTGGACACACGTGGGTCGTTGAGTCTCTGTTGTTCATGGTAGTAGGGCCTTCACATGGGGCCACAGCCCAAGAATCTTTTAATTTTTGAGATGCGGTCTGACTGAGTCACCCAGGCTGGGCTTAAATGTGTGATCCTCCTGCCTCAGCCTTCCACAGTGCCTGGCTCAGATGGTTTTAAAAAATGCTCTATGTGAATGTGACATCCATGCCTAGAAAAAGCCACTCATCTGAGTCTAGTCCAGTATACCCTAAATGAGTAAATGGCGGATTCTAAGACCAGGGCTGCCCCAAGTCCTACTCCACGCACACCCCAAGGCACGGCTCTGTCCCCACACCTGCCTGGGGAGGACTCCTGTCACCTATCACCCAGCAAACTCAAAACAGTACCTGGACCTGCAGGCCCCTGCAGGTGGCCCTGGGGCCTTTGGAGTCCTCACTTCTAGTCCCAGACACCGGCTGTACCCGGGAAGGCCTGCTAGAGCATCACCCAGCCATGGTCCATCTGCCGTGCAGCTGGGAGGTCAGGAGCACAACCAAAGGCCCCACAAACCCCAGCTGCGGTGGTGGCATGTGCGCGGGGGGGGGGGGGACTGCTGTCCTCCTGCTGTGCATGTGTGGCATCTGACACACACACAACATCCGAGGACAGAACTGGGAAGCAGGGAAGGCCCCAGACACAGCTCGGGGTACTGCAGTGCTTACAGCCTGGTGGGCGGCTCTGTAAGGATATAAGGAGTGCTCAATCTTGCCCACGCTTTTGATGACTTTATTGAGGCGATTCTGCATGTCCAACAGGAGGTTGTACCAGCTCTCTGACAGGGAGGTCACCAGCCCTGGAGGAAGGGGACAGTGGGCACTGCTGAGCCCCGCAGCAGGCGGACACTTGCGGAGGGTGAGCCTGCTGTGCAGAGGCCCTGGTCTCCCCCGGACTCCCCCGTGCCCCTCCTAAGCAGCACCTTGGGAAGCTGCGCGCTCACCGATCATGCCGTTGACTGTGCCGAAGAGCACGGAGCCCTGTGTAGGGGTGGATGTCTCGCCCAGGTTCTGCATAACCAGGGAGCCGTGGCAGAAGACGTTGACAAACTCGCCCAGGTGGAAGAGCCCCACCTCCTGCAGGTGCTGCCGCTCCTCGTCTGTGGTGGCAGCGCTGAAAGGCGGTGTGAGAAGTCACTGCTTGGACCACGGCGGCCACAGTGTGCTAAGTGTCCTGCGGAGCCCAACTCGGGGCAGTCCTGCAGGCAGAGCCTGACCCTCCGTCCTTCAGACCCAGGGGCCCGCCTCAAGGCCACCTGCCTGGTCACTCACCTGTCCTTCTGACACACGAACAGGTTAAAG